CTGCGTTGTAGTTGTAAAGACCATTGCCTCAAAACAGCACATCCATCATCTGAGTCCATCAACATAAAATAAATCAATTTTGAATAAGGATTTGATGCCAATTGCTAGACTAATTGTTTGACAATGCTAGTTCTTTATGCTGTTAATGAAACCGTAATATTCTTTGAATTGTATTTAATTTATTCACTAGTTTATATATATCTCTTTTATGTTTATTATACTCCGAACGAAATTGAAATAGCAAAAATGTTGATTCTTTAATTTTTTATATAGCATGTTACCTTTTTGAAGGATCAAGAAGTAATCCAAAGTAAAGTCTTCCTTTTCATTTGTGCCATCTTGGATCTGTTGGAATTATGTAATTATAGTAATATTATAAATAGGAAAATTAGTATCTTTGTAATTATAGTAACCTTATTTTGTATCAATAGTTCCTATCACAAAATATATGTTCATCCTATTTCTTATTCGTATTTCTCAATATGGTATCAAGAGCCTGACAAGGAGGAAATCCTAATCCGTCCTTATCCTGTGGGCCCACTGCTCATAGGTGTATTTTTTTTTTTCTAGAAACTGGTCTCCAATTTCTGATTTTTTTCGACTGCCACTGTTTACACTTGGCGACTTTTCTGGCTGCTAATGTTCACACAATCTCAGGGTATTGATATTGTCCACCCTTTTCCCTCCCTCTCTATTGATAATGTTCTTTATGTTCCCAGATCTTTTTTTAACTTACTTTTCATTAGTCATCTCACTCGTTCCCTTGATTATATTATCTCTTTCACAAAAGATTCTGTTTACCTGCAGGATCGGAGTTCAGGGAGGATGATTAGCACCGAATGTGAGTCTCATGGTCTCTACCATTTAAATGCTTCTGCTCATGCTGGTTTGGTAATTGATTCATCTCTCCTTGTTCATGCTCAGTCAGGACATCCTAGTTTAACCAAATTACGACACTTAGTACCAAGTCTTTTCAAGTTATCTACTTTGTCCTGTAAGTCGTGTTAATTAGGAAAACATACTCGTCGTTCTTTTACTAATCCTGTCTATCGTCGTTCTACTTCTCCCTTTTCTTTAGTTCACACTAATGTATGGGGTCCAAGTTGTACTGTATCTACTTTAGGTTCAAAATATTTTATTACTTTTATTGGTGATTATTCTAAATATACTAGGTTATTTTTAATGAAAGATCGTTCCAAGTTATTTTCTATTTTTAAGACGTTCTTTTGTGAAATTAAAACTCAATTTGGTGTTCCAATTCATACTTTACAAAGTGATAATGCTTGAAAGTACTTATCTAATCAATTTCAGAATTTTATGGCTTCTAATGATATCCTTCATCAGACCACTTGTGCCCATAATCCACAACAAAATGGGGTTGCTAAACAAAAAGATAGACATCTTATTGAAATTGATCGTACTCTATTGTGTCATAATTAAGTTCCTCATCATTTTTGGAGTGATGCTGTTCTTACTGTATGTTACCATATTAATAGAATGCCATTTTCAATTCTTTAAAACCAAGTCCCACACTCTATCTTATACCCTCACCAGTCTTTTTACCCTTTACCCCCTCGTGTCTTTGGGTTCACCTGTTTTGTTCATGATCTTAGTCTCGGGCTTGATAAACTCTCACTACGCTCTCATAAATGTGTTTTTCTAGGTTACACTAGGTCTCAGAAAGGTTATAAGTGTTACTCTATAACTCTTCGTTGCTATTTAGTTTCGATTGATGTCACCTTTTTTAAATCTGTTCCTTTCTTTACACTCAGTCCTCTTGTTTTAGTCTGAGTCTTCTCCTTCCCCTCTTCTAAATTTTGTGCCTTTCTATGATGTTCCAATAGAACCATCTCATGCTTCTGCTACACCACCTCTTTCACGCCCTTTGCAGGTATATCACCGTTGCCAGCCCCTCTCTATACCGCCAATGTCTGCTGGTCTGACTTTTTACTCGCTTCCGGTGCCACTCACCACCTCTCCTTCGGGTTTGCCTCCTAAGAATGAACTTCTCATGGTTCTTCGTAAAGGTATATGCTCTACGCATAATCCCTCTCATTATGTTTCTTTGAGTTATCATCAGTTGTCCTCTTCTCATTATACTTGTTTGTTTTCCTTGTCCTTTGTTTCTATTCCTCAGTCCATAGGTTATGCTTTCTCACATTACAGTTGGAAACAAGCGATGATTGATAAAATATATACGGTCAAGGTTGGTCCTAATGGTAAGATTGATCTCCTTAAGGCCCGTTTAGTAGTTAAAGGTTATACATTGATATTTGGTTTGGACTACAACGACACTTTCTCCCTAGTAGCCAAATGACACCTGTCCGGCTACTCATACCTATGGCTGTTATTTTTCATTCGCCTTTTTTTCAGCTTGATATCAAGAATGCTTTCTTTCATAGTGATGTTGAAAAAGGAAGTCTATATGGAGAAACCTCCTGGATTTGTTGTTGGACTTGTCCCCTTAGTTTCATAGGATCTAACAAGTTGTATTTACTTAATTGTGTATGTAGATGACATTGTCATTACAGGAAGTGATCATCATGGTATTAAACAGATAAAGCAAAACCTTTGTCAGCATTTTAAAACAAAAGATTTTGGTAGACTTCGATACTTTTTCGAAATTAAGGTGGCATAATCCAAGAATTGTGTTGTGATTTTTCAAAGGAGGTATACAATGGATATCCTAGAGGAAACAAGATTGGTAGGGGTCAAAGCTATTGATACTCCTATGGATTCTAATACCAAACTTTTGCTAAGTCAGAGGAAGCCACTTTTAGATCTAGAAAGGTATAGGAGACTTGTTGGAAAACTAAACTATCTGACAGATTGCAGTTAGTGTGGTGAGTTATTTTCTTAACTCCTTGTGATGGACATTGGGATGCAGTAATCAACATTTTGAAATACATTAAAGGAGCTCCAGGAAAAGGCCTCTTATATGAAGACAAAGGGCATACTTAGATTGTGGGGTATTCAGATGCAGATTGGGCAAGATCACCTATTGATGGGAGGTATACATCTGACTATTGCATCCTTATTGGTGGAAATCTAGTTTCCTGAAAAAGCAAGAAGCAAAATGTAGTTACAAGGTCTAGTGCAGAAGCAAAGTATCAAGCTATGACTTTAGTTACTTGTGAACTTATATGGCTTAAACAACTACTCAGAGAATTGAGATTTGGAGAAACTAGAGAGATGACACTTATTTGTGATAATCAGACAGCTTTACATATTGCGTCAAATCTAGTTTTTCATGAGGGGACTAAACACATTGAGATAGATTATCACTTCCTTAGAGAAGATTTTATCTAGAGACATCATTACTAGCTTTTTAAATTCCCATGATCAATTGGTAGATGTCTATATCAAGTCTTTAAGAGGTCCTCGAATTAGTTATATATGCCACAAGCTTAGTGCATATGATTTATATGCTCCTGCTTGAGGGAGAGTGTTGGAATTATGTAATTATAATAATATTATAGATAGAAAAATTAGTATCTTCGTAATTATAGTAACTTCTTATTCTGTATCAATAGTTCCTATTATAAATATATATTCCAGTATGTAATCAAAACACATGGATTCATCCTATGTTTCTTGTTCTCTTTTCTCAATAGGATCCTAGTTACAATATTATGTGTCTTTTATGAGTAATCCCTCTAAAGCATGAAAACACCACTTTGGTGTTGTATCTGTATGCATTTATGAGACAAATACTTGTATGACACAATGCATACAACAATGAAGGTCAAAACAAAAGTGTTAAATTGTTGCTCAATAAACTAGAGTACAGCTATCTAGATGATAGAAATATCCATTTCTTTCATTTTCTTTTTGAAGTCCTCTTGTGAGCCCCCTTCTCTTCCCTGACAGAACGCCTCTATCCTTTGTTCCCCTTCCTTCACTTAAAGCTGCTTGTGCTATGAATCATCTTCCTAACAGTAGACAAATTAAAAGTAGTATACTGACTCAGCTATTGTACTATACTCTATACTATTCTGCTTGTGTTGTCCCTCAAATTGCACCAAACACACATGGAGTTTAATACTTCAATCAAATAATGAAATTGTCCTTCCAATGTAATTCATGGATCAATAACAAGTTCTTGATGGTTGAAGAAAATCAATTCAAATATATAGATTCATGATAAATAATGGAAGAGAAAAAGAAAGGAAAAATTAAACACAGTTGTAGAACTTCTATGATTTTATTCTGCATCTGGTCTTTATATCATTTACTGTCTTGGAGCTCTCTTGTTATTGTCCTCCAAATTTAATCTTGAATTCCTTCTATGGTAGCTCCCCCTTTTGTTATGTTAGATTGTTAAATTGGACATTTGGACCTAGTGTCTTGTTTCTTGTTTTTATTTGGTATTCAAATTCTTCTTAGATCTTCAATTCCTTTAATCTTGATAAGGATTTTAATCCCAATTAGAATCTTTTAGCTTTGGATAAATTCCCTTTTAAGCCTGTAAATAAAATTTGCCTGAATTGATCCATAATTGTGAAGATTACACTTGCAAAAATACACAAAGGAGAGGGAAGAGCTAAAGTACTAAAATCTAAATAAAACCTATCAAAGTCGAACAAAATCAAGTAAAGTTCTTAATAATTAAATCCTAATGTATCAAATTTTGCAAAACATCACTACTTCTTGCTAGGGTCATAAAAGTGATCAGCTTCTTTTTCCATGATTTAGTGAAACTCAAAATCAATTCAATATTGCATCAAATGGAATTATTGGAATATTTGTTGATTTTGCTGAAGGAGTTTTGAATTCTTAATATCTTAACACAGTATCTCATATTTCTTTTAGTGTTCCTGGGGTCAAGTGATGTGTAATTTGTATTTGGACCTGGTGCTCTGCATTATTATTCTTATGGATTTTTATTTTTTATCCTCTTACCATTTTTCAATTGCTACTTGCATGAATCTACTTATATAGCTTATAATTTTCTAATGGTTATGTGTGCTTATGCTTCACTTTCTTTTGTTTGTTAACAGGTGGCGTTGAAAACATTGATAGTCATTCATAGGTTATTGAGGGAGGGTGATCCTACTTTTAGGGAAGAACTTCTTAATTTCTCACTGAGAGGGCGCATACTCCAACTTTCTAATTTCAAAGATGATTCAAGCGCAATAGGTTAATTTTATGACTGTCTTTATATTTTTAGGTTTAACTAATCTATCGGTTCCTTTACTGTCTTGAATTTTTTTTATTGAGTCTATTATAAAGTTTGTAATTGGGTCCATAAAATATATAAAAGTTCTAAATAGGTCTGTTAGATACAAAATCATTCATGAGGCATCACCTAGTGTCTTTATAGACTGAAAAGTTAGTGGAATTTAGAAAATCTTATTTGGGCTTGTGACTTTCCGATGTCCTCTTTTTAACTTATTTCAATAAGCTTCATGGAGTGGTTATCAATATAAGTTCTTTTCAGCTTATATTAGTTAGCTTCACGGGTAATCTCTCATTTGATAAGAACTCATTGAATAAGTGCTTAATTAACTGTTGCTTGAGTGAAACAACCACAGGAAGGTAGCAAGCAGGGTTGAGGGGTAAATTTCATAAACTGGATTGTCTTGATAATGCAGAAAACTCAATAATAAACTTGACCCTGACTGCGACCTGCCAATAAAACCGAAGTTATCAAAGAAAATGTGACCCTAACCATGACTTGTTTGTAGAACCAACACTTCTAAAGTACCTAATCCAAGAACAAAGGAAATGCTCTCTCAATATGAGAAAAACATTCAGATTTCATTCAAATTGATGTGTCTTGTGAGGCTACAATGGTTCCTATTTATAGGCTAAGTGCAACCCCCTAAAATCAATTCAAAATTAATTTATGACTGTTACAAATTGGCTTACTGAATGCTAATTATCTTATGATTGCAAAATTGCATGTCTTGTAACTTCTAGCAAAGGCATAAATATGGCTTAGAAAATTCAAATGCTGTCTGAAAAATCAGCCATAAAAATTGATACGAAAGTTCCAAAGAAAATAGAAAATATGGACCTATTTATTGTTCGTTCAGGTCACAATAATTCATTAAATTGATAAATTGTGACCAACAAATGCATCTTAGACATTGGATTTGGGCTCTCAATTTTTGTCTTCAAGTTGGGCTCAAAATATCATCATTAAGTTGTGGAGAAGTGACCTAATTAGGTGCAGCCGTTAACAGAAGTTGATCCTCCTTTTTATCTCCATAATTTGGCCTTGCAATACTTGGTTCATTTTCTTTGTCTTCTCTCTTTTCATTGGGCCTCCAATTCCTTGTAAAGAGTCTTTTGTTGGGTTGGTTGTATCTCTATTAGACTAGGGAGGAAAAATTGAGTAGAGATGGTCAGAATATGGGGAGCATGCAGTCCCAATTGCGAGAAAAAGGATGTGTAAACCCTAACCAGTAACTGTCAGTGGAGAGATACGGCTAGAGAGAGATGGCTGATTGGACAGGGTGGGACCAGATATAGAAAAAGAAGACCGCATGTCAAGTGTGGCAACCATTCAAAAGATGAATGGATGCTCTCTCGTATGTGGCCGAAGGGAGATGTGTGGGTGCTTGGCTGGTGATCTAGAGGTGCATGTAGTAGGCCTTTGGAAGGTCTGACAGTGGCAGTGGTGAGGTGAAATCCCGTTGACAAAGGCCGGGCACCATTGATAGAAACATAGAAGACAGAAGGTGACTTTGGTGGAGGAAAATCAAGGGTTTTAGTGACTGGAATTTTTCAACAATTAAGAGGAAGCAACAGACAGTTGCCAAAGAGTGAGGCTGGGGGAAATAGAGTGTATGAGAGGGATCTAGGTAGTTGAATATCAACAGGACAGCTTACAAAGAATGGTACCACTCTGATACCTTGTTGAAAATATAGGGTTTAGGCAGGGAAGGAGGAAAAGAGAGAATAGATACTTTGAATAATATGATCTTGTGTTATTGATGTAATGCAAAATACAAAGTACTAATGCCCACAAATTCTATTCATATGCGATATCAATAATTTTTATACAATCAACATATTGTGAGATATTTTCTAGTTACTCTAACAAGCCTGATTGTTCTAATAGAAAGTACATGTGTAGAAGGTAGGGTGGGCCTGTGCATAGTCCACTTTTCAAGCCCAAATGGCTCTTAGGTGAGGTCGTGTGTTAGTTGTAAAATGATTCACGAGTCTTCATTTTATAGTTTGAGCGTTTGGGAAAGTTGATCGTTGACAAGTTCCTTATTTTTATTGTTAGAAATTTCTAATAGTAAGCTAGACATGAGGAAAATTTTCGAACTATAGGGATCCAATATATTTATAATTGGGTCGTCTAGTATTTAAATCGGTCCTCGGATGTAGCTTACTGTCAACAGTTCCGATTAGAAAGGGACCAGATTAGAAGTTTTCAAATGGTTTAAATATGTTTTTGGTCTTTACATTATTGTGATTGATAATGTGGCTGACTAAGAGGTGGCCACTTCTTAATCCCTTTTCAATTGTCATTTTTTTATTCTGGGTTGAAACTTGTAACAAGTGATCTTAGATTGATGTTTTTTGCTGGCAGCCTGGGATTGTTCTGCCTGGGTACGTACTTATGCATTATATTTGGAAGAAAGACTTGAATGTTTCCGGATTCTGAAGTATGATATTGAAGCTGAGCGTCTACCTAAGCCTGTTCCAGGGCAGGACAAGGTAATTTTTTTTCTCTCTTTCCACCTTCTCTCTCTCTCTCTCTCTCTGGGTAAAAGAAAAAATTTACTGCGATGAAGTGAACTGCAAGGTAACTTTGTCAAACTATGATTATATTTATATAAGTTAGCAGAATAATTAGTTATTTAGAGTTGGTTGGTTAGTTTGTTGGACTGGGCTGTTGGTGAGAACTTGTCACAGAATTGTAAATAAAAGACAGTATAAATAATAGAGAGGAAAAGAGAGAGAGCACAGAGATATAATAATTCAGTTGTGGGAGTGTTTCTTAGTCTATTGAACATCCACTGGAGTTATGCTGTCAATGTTGTCAAAATCACGTGTTGGAGCATTGAATCCCATGATTCATGCTTTTTCCATGCATGTAAACCCTTATTTTTTTGGTCTTTATGAAACCACCTATGCTTCTCCCAAATCGTTTACTTATTTCTACTTTTTCCCTAACATTCTCTTCTGAAAACACGAATGTATATGGGTCGTGGTTTTTTGCCTCTTCCATTCTGCTTGTGTTGCATTCTGCTTCATCCTTCTTTGTTTCTGCCTCTCCGCTTTTCCCTCTGTCAGTGTTGTGTTCCTCTGCAGCTCTGCATGTTGTGTTCTCCTTCTTTGTGTTGTGTAATGTGTGCTCTATTGCTGCGTCTCTTTCCTGTTGCTGTGTATTCTGTTTTTTGCTTTATAAAGATGGTAATGAGTGGTAACAACGGTACTGTTGGAAGTGTTAATGAGGCTGGTTTGAGTGTTACTGTTGGCAGTGTTTTTTGCTTTATGATCTGTTGTTTTTTGTGTTGGTAAAAACTTGTGACTTTATAACTTTTGAGTTGTGATTAAAGGGGCCTTCTGAATCTTTAGTTGAAGTTCAATTAACTGTTTGGAGTGATTTAAGAGATTTTTTTTTTATATATGTTATTTTTTATTCATATAGATATGCATTTAAATATAATTTTGCATTTTAGTTGACTCTTACAAGTCGCGTTATGATCCATCGATCCTACGATCCAAGACCCTCCTTCTGCTCCAACCTTGAAGCTCAATTTTGACAACTTTGATTGCTGTGTCATTTTACTGATTTGTTGATCTGCTTCCACATTGGGAGTAGGGCTGGAATTGGGTTTTTCTCTCCATAAAGATTTATTTTTCTTATCATTGGTACCAGTTTCTATCATCTGGTACTAGAGCTCTGATCTTGGAGCAGTGGATATCTAATTTTGAAGATGATTCCAAATTTTGAAAAGAAAGGAATACTAGAAAAGAGGTAATCGTGGGCTTGGTTTGCTGTGGAAGGTTGAGAGGTGCTTACGTGGTGGTACTGTTGAAAAGCAAGCAATCAAGATGCAATGTGGTGCAATTTTGTAATTTGTAAAGGCAGTACTCAAGAGGTTCCAACTTGAATATGTAGAAAAGTTTGTTATGTTACTGTTGTATGTTGTTGCTGACTGGCTAGATTTGCAGATGTCTGCCATAGCATAAAGCTTGGCCATCCTGGATATTATGGAAATTTATTTTATACTAAGTCCTCTGTTTTATTTCCTGTGCTTAACACTTAATTTGATTCATGAACCTTGATATTTGACTGCATGATTAGTCATTTGAGTTTGTTTCATTCGTGATTAAATGGATAATATTTTAATCGTAATATTGGTGGCATCGTTTGTGCAAGTGATGCAGGACAAGTTGGGCACTCAGCATAGAATATAAAATGGAAAGAGATGGAAATAATGTTTCCGCCTTTATCTTGTTGCCTTGTTTTATGTGAATGGTTTTTGGGTAAGATGGGGGGAGGGGGGCTATTCATGTAAAATAGAAAAATGAGGATTGAAAGAAGAGATTAGGTAGGGGACAAGAAAGGGAAATAAGAAAAGAGACATAATAACAGTAGTAATCAATCAGAAATTGAAAAGTTTTAATTATTGTAAGTGCTAAAACCCTCAGAAAGCCATCTTCAATTTACAGAAGTTCTCATAATTCTTGAAATGTGTCACTTTCATTGTGTTAACCTTTCATTAATAAGTTTTAATGCTTGTTTTCCAAGCAGGGGTACAGCAGGACCAGTGATTTAAATAGTGAGGAGCTATTGGAACAACTGCCTGCTTTGCAGCAGCTGCTCTATCGTCTTGTTGGTTGTCGGGTAATGTTCTGAAACTTAATGATTTTCATTATTTTTTTCTTTATTCTCTCAAATATAGTGTTTTGTTGGGGGGAGTTGGAGGGGAGGGGAGGGGTGGTATTTTTATATTTTTTTTCATGTTTGGTTCATATTTTCAAGGAAGAGGAGGGGAAGGAGCTAAAATCCCTCCTCACTCAACTTCAGCTCCCCTCCAAGAGTTGGGGGTGTGATTTGGTGGGGAGAGAAACTTTTAAACAAATTCGACAACCAGTTATCTTGCCTCTCCATTAAAATTCCTCTACTTCCCTCCTTTCATTTGAACCAAACAGTGCGTAAATACCACTTTATTTTACATCCTTACTCATTGATTTGGTTTAATTAATTTCACCGCATCACTATATTGTTTGCTGTATTAATATTATATATGTTTTTAAATGATCCTGACTGATTGTGATGCAATTTTCAGCCAGAAGGAGCAGCTTTTAGCAACTTTGTGATACAATATGCCCTGGCTCTGGTATGTACCGTGTCAAGCTATTCATTTAGAACTTTCAGATACACTGGAAAAAAATTTGGTTTGTACATATGTAAAAACATTTTCAAATGTGATATATTTGTAATAGATTTCTGTAAATGACCTTTAGCATAATGATGGGCAAAATTATTATAATACATTATTGTGCAGTTGGCTGAAACTTTATTGGTTGATCACTTGATCTTTTAAGTTGTGGAACACTTCCCCTTTTGTTTCTGTTTTCGTGGATTACAACTAGAAAAGTAAATTGTTGGGGTATGAAATTCAAGCACTGACAGGAAGAATAAAAACATATCTAAATTATTTACTGGTTCCTTGAAAGATGGTGGGACTGGTAACATCCTTTTCCATGTTGGGTCCTTGGTAATATCTGAATTAATTTTCAATTTTCAATCATCATTAAATACAGTGTTTTAGGAAAGGCCAGCAGTTATGGTGATGACCTGTTTGTAACCATCCTTCATTTGTAGTCATAAATACCCTTTAGCCTAACTGATCTCCTAAGTAGGTTTTATATACTCCTTTTCTTCTGTAACATTTGTTCGGTTGTATTGAAGTTATATTGTTCTCAGAATTTATTGTGTATTAGATGGCTTTTATATTGTTTGGGTTTGTTATTGATCGGGTTCTATGATCATTAGGTTCTAAAAGAGAGCTTTAAAGTTTATTGTGCTATTAATGACGGCATTATCAATCTTGTTGATAAGGTAAACTAACATATTTTCATCTATGCAATGAGTATCAAGTTTAAATAAATCTGTCCATATTGGTGAGTGATAATTATTGATTTCCTTGTAGTTTTTTGAGATGCCCAGACATGAAGCTATAAAAGCTCTTGATGTCTATAAACGTGCAGGTCAGCAGGTAATTAGTAGTTGGTCAATGGTTTTGTAATATATTTTCATGATGCTTGTATAGTGATGCCTAAGTTGTTGCAGGCGGGAAGTCTCTCTGATTTCTTTCAAATATGCAAAGGGTTGGAACTTGCTAGGAATTTTCAGTTTCCTGTTTTAAGAGAGGTATGACTTTGTTTTTGCTTTTTGCATCAATTCGATGTAACAAGTTCTTTGTTTCATTTTTAAAGTGTTCTCATTGTTTGCATTTTGATGTATTTAGCCTCCACAATCTTTTCTCATAACCATGGAAGACTACATAAAGGAGGCACCACGAGTGGTTACAGTTCCAAGTGAGCCATTGGTAAATACATAATTCATTTTGTTTATAAAAGCATAATTGTCATGATTTCTTTGTCATTTTGTATTTTGGTCTTGGTTGATATTAGCCAGACGACATTGTATTATTTTCCTTGGAAGTTTAGCTTTTGGATTAGGTTCTACTAATCTTCTTTATCAACAGTTGCAGTTGACTTACAGACCGGAAGAAGATGTTCCCACAATCGAAGACATAAAATTATCTGAAGAACAGGAGCCATCAGTTGCTGTTGATGATGATGTTATCTCAAATTCTGAACCTGCTCCTCTTCCTGCACCATCTCACAATTTTGAAACTAGAGACTTACTGGTAAAATTTTGATCCAAGGTTCAGTTATGTCAGATTATGTTTTTCTACAACTTTCCTCAGTCTTTGTTCTGGTTGCAGGGGTTGAATGACAGTACATCTAATGCGTCATTGATTGAAGAAAGAAATGCCCTTGCCCTAGCCATAGTCCCCACCGAAATTGGTGAGCGTTTGTTTCTAAGCTTCGTAAATTCTACATTTCAGCAATGTTTGGTAGAGGGTTTTTCTTATATGAATGTTTTGCTCATCTTAGGCACTACATCAGCTTTTGATTCTAGTGCTGTCCAGACCAAAGATTTTGATCCAACCGGTTGGGAGCTTGCGCTGGTCTCCACTCCAAGTGCCAACATTTCGGCAGTCAATGAGAGACAATTGGTAGGTCTTCTGGACATTTATAATGCGTGTTTAGTTTAGCTTGTATATTATTTTTTACTAGTTCCCTAAGAAAGCTTTTAGTAAAAAGCAATTATTTCTCAGAAATAATCAGTTACCAAATATGGGCCTGGTATTATTTGACATCTGTAAAATCAAAGTTGTGCATTTCATGACCAATCACTAAATTCAGTTTGATTAAAAAGCTGATGTCATAGAACACACTCAGGAAGTTTTGTATCATTAAAAAATTAATTGATATTTTATTATTAGTTTGCAAGATTAATGCATTGTATGATATTAAAATGTTTTAACTTTCGAATTTTATGCTGCTGAATATTCAGATTTTCAAAAAATCTGGCTTTCATGATTTATCTGCTTAGTAGTGTCTCATTTCAACAGTTTGGATAATTGAAAATGACATCTCCAAGAAATTATTTGCTTTGGGGTCACATTATGAAGCATTACCCAAGTGTAATGTACACTGCATGTGTAGGATTTGGAGTGAATGTACTGTTTTACAAGGCATAAATACGCATTACACGCAAGAATAAAGAAATATTTTTTTTTTTTTATCAATGCTATCTATGTTTGTTAGATATGCCTTAATCTTTTATTGTGTAACATCATTTTATCAGGTGACATGATTTTGTGTGTTAAGGTCCTAGTATTACACCCATTTGTTATTATCATGTCATATTGATAATTAAACCCATTTGTTATTTCAAGTGACTTGCCCTTGTTTTCTTTCCGTTTGGACCTCAATTAGCACTTACTAGTTTATGGTTATTCACATTCTAGATTGTTTAATAAATCAGAAGTTAATTGTTTGGTTATTCACGTAATATATTTTTTTATAAAATTATGAGTAACCTTTATCACTTTGTTTCAAGTTGTGTTTATCTTTTTTCTCATTGAATATCAGGCTGGTGGATTGGATTCTCTCACGCTAAACAGCTTATACGATGAAGGAGCATATAGATCTGCACAGCAACCAGTATATGGAGTACCAGCCCCAAATCCATTTGAAGTGCAGGATCCATTTGCTATATCAAGTAGCATCCCTCCCCCACAACACTTACAAATGGCAGCAATGGCTCAACCGCAAGTTAATCCATTCGGTCCATACCAACCATATCAGCCACAACAGCAGCACATGTTCATGAACCCAACAAATCCCTTCGGGGATACAGGATTCGGGGCGTTTCCTGTGAATCCCATTTCACACCCACATAATAACAATCCATTTGGAAGCAATGGCTTGTTATAGGAAACCTATCTGGAGACAATCTATTTTGATGAACCAAGCTGGTTTTTGTTGCTAGATAGATCATTTCTGGAATGTGCCATATAGGAACACCATTTTATAATATTTACATATACAGAATGGTGGGATTCTATTTTTTCTCTGAATATATCTCCACTCCCAAATTCGTATATGCATATATTACACAATGTTCACACATATATAGCACTTGAATAATGTGCCATGTCACCGACAGTGGCCACGAAAGAATCTCCTTTTTACATTTTTGTCGGGTACTAGAAAATTGAAGTGGAGCAATGTGGGCTAATAATAAACATTTGAACCCCGTTATGGATGTATCGTCTGTTAAATTTGATGATTGTCATGAAGTCTCCTGATAGTTCTGCACTCTATTGAGCATGTTTTTGCCATTCTCCTGGTTAGATATAGCAGTTTTACTAGGAGAAACTGAGAAAGTCGTAGATATTTACGAAATACGCTGGTTGGAAGAGACACAAGAGATTTGGCCCACAACTTGAAAGCTATTGGTTTTGCGAGTATTAGTCACTAGATGAGTATTTAATTTCGAATCAGTGAAGAAATATAGCTGATCATTGACTTCACTGCCTGTACTAGCGAATGTAAGCAAATAAAAGTTTTGAACGTACTCCCTTCCATCCGAACTCTTTTATAAGAACTTTTTAAATAAATTGCATATTAAAAATAATTATTGTATTAAAATAAAAAAATATTAATTAAATATTTCAAGCTTTCTCTTAGATAAAGTTAAATTCTGTTATTATATTATGATTTGTCTAATATTGCACGTAATAAGAATCTATATTTAAGTATATCTGTACTATAAATTATAACATTTAATAATATTATGGCATTCGATTATATTAAATTTTATAATTTTTAAATAAAACTTATTATATATATATATAATCTTTTATATTTTTATTGCAAATTAGTTCTCAATGTAAAGTAAAGAAAGTTAAACCTAACTTATTAACTACATATTATTTATTTTTTAATATTTATTAAAATTTTAAATTAATTTTTTATTTGTAGTATTCTTTTGTTGAAATATTCTTTCTACAAATAAAAATATTTTTTTTTTCAAATTAACATATATATTTTTAGTATTAACAAGTAACATTATTTTAATAATAATTAAATTATGATCTAGTTTAAATTTTGAGTCCCAGTTAATATAATTGTGTTAAATACTTGAATTAAGAGTTTTGTCACTTATAGTTGTCTTACCTAGTGTTTTAAGATGAAATTTAATAGAAATGATTAAAGGACTCGAAAGTTTAAGAAGTATAAAGAAAGAAGAAAGATTGAGTAAGAAAGTGATTATAAAGTATTATTGAATGAAAGTGTTTGTAGGTTTGATGCTATCATTACATGACAATCCTATTTATAACCAACATCATAAATACAAATAAAACTTATATTTATTGCACAAGTACAAAGTAAGAGCACTCTTCGTAAGAAAGGAGCAATGTTTTTTAAGCTTTAACTAAAACATGTTACAAAAACAGACATTCCTCATTGGCCATATTGCTAGAACTAGTGCATTGACTTTTGTAGAAGGTTGTGCACTCTCATCAGTCATAGAAATCTTGGGTTGTGCACCCTTGTGATAAATGCATGAGATTGCATAAGACATTTTGGAAACACATGTCTTGTTTTTTATGCTTTGCCTTTACTTCCAATATTTCAGACTTGCATCATGTCTTACTGTATGCTTTGCTGAAGAAATCAGTGTGATTTTATCTTTTTCTAACAAGTGAATCCATGCGTTTTCGTCTTTTTTACGTTGACTTCGGCATGAAGAAGACTATTTTTTCTAAGCGTTCAACACACCTAGTTTCAAGAAGATTATTTTTTTTTTGTAAATGATCCTTGTAGTCTAAATAAAAAAAATTATGATAAATAATATTTTTTTATCACAAATAATTTTTTCCATTATTTTTTAACTATAAAAACTAGGATAGTTTTGCATTTATTGCATACAATAATTTAATATTTTATGATACGAATAACAAATATTTACTAAAGAGAAATTTCTATTAAAAAATTACCATTATTTTATAAAAAATAATAATTTTGTTATCTTTAAAATTGAAGTTCTTATTTTTTTTATGTGACCACTTTTATAAAGTATTCTCATTCTTATTTTTTGTTAATTTTTATTCCGCTTTTAATATTTTTTAATTTTAATTTTAAATTTTTTATTTAAATTTGAAATAATAGTATATTATATCTACTTAAATTTAGGTGCTTGCCAGGGCAAGCAACATCATTAAGTTTTGGAATAGGTATAGGTCCCAATGGTCAACAAATTTTTATTTTTACTTTTTGCAAAATGCTTATAAAAAAAGAGAAGAAAAGGAAAGTAAAAAAAAAAAAAGCAATATACTTGAGAAAAATATAATAGAAAAAAGGAATAAGTTAAAAAAAAGAGTAAAGAAAAAAAAACATATAAAAAATATTATACAATAATGAGTTACTATTGGGATTGTGTTGAAATTACAATTACGTTCGATGTTTGAATTTATAGTCTAATTTTTTCTTTAAATTCTTTAACTCTTGGCTATTGTCCTATATTATATTTTCCTTTATGCTTAATCAAGTTACAACCTAAATTAAGTTATTTTGATTTTGCATGTTTAAGAATAATATGTGAAGATAGAGAATAGGAGAAATATATAGTAGTGTGAATAATGTGATCTTGGTTTGATGATATTAAGAGAAACACATACCCTAAAATACACATTAAGTATTGTGTCAAAAATTTAATTTGAGTAGGTGTCATAGATTTAAATCATGCTTTCTCACATAAAATTGTTGCATTTATAACTTTGATATTATCTTGACTTGAACTCTTAATTACTTTGGTGTAACTTTACATATTCCTTAATCTATTTCACTAGACATTTGAATTGTCTTTGGATGTAAACATAATTCTCTTTAATGGTGTAAGTTGGGTTGAAGTGTAAAATGTGACACTTATTTTCAAAAAATAAAAAAATAAAATGTTAGTAGTTAGAGTAAAATTTTTAAGAAATTATAAAAAATAGAAATAAACAATTTAAAAATATTAATTTTTAAGAGAGAAAAATATTTAATTTTTGTATTTTTTGAAAAGAAATAAAAAAGATAAAAATATTTATGAATAAAAACTATAAAAGGGTAATAATGTCATTACATGTTAAACCTTTTACTACTATTTCCTCTCAACATTAAACATTCAAATAAGGGAGGGATTTAACCTTTCTTCTCTTCCTCTCCTAAGCCCTTTAAACTCTTTCTTTTCCTTTTCTTCTAAACTCTCAAATAAAGTCTTAGTGATAGAGTTTTATGCAATTTGTATTGGAATGTTCATTTCTAATTTATTTTATCATTCCATGGAATAATAAAGATGTTTAAGTTCAACTTTAGAGTAACAAGACTAAACTTAAAATTGAGATAAATGTTGCAAAATGTATTATGGTTGTTAATGATTTCAACGTCAAACATACTTGATCTTGGAAAGAAATGTCAATTTCTGTCACTTTAGTATTAGTAATGCTAAAAACACTAAGGATCGTTGATTTCAACTTGAACTCTTTTAAAGGTATAGAAACTCAGATTTAGGGAGTTTTTAGTTTTTTATTTTTAAGTTTTGTGCAAGGAATCATTCTCTTCAACACTCTCTTTTTGCAACATTAGGGTTGGTGGAGATTCAATTTTGAAGAATTAAGTTATAGATTTATCTAATTGTAATGAAGTTCTTTATTATCTCTTCTCTTATGATTTTTTCCTTCTATCATGTGTAATTAGGTTCGTAGGTTAGAGATAATGAATCTCCCAATATGTTCTTGTAAATCAAATTTTTACATTTCAATTCAATTTTCTTTCCTTCAATTTAGTGTTTGCTTTTGTTCTTAATGTTTCCATAGATTGACCAACCATTGATTGATGTTAGATTCACTTTCACAGTTAGAAAATTAACTAGTGGATTTGGTCTTGGAGTAATCCACCGTAGTTATTGATATGCTAGAAATAGGATTGGATGATTATGTAATCTCAGAAGAAATTCTTGAGCATAATGCTTGATCTAATTAGGAAAATCTAAGGAATTAGGACTTTTAATAAGGAAGCTAGGAGACAGTTATCAAGGAATTGAAATTATCCTAATATAGTGAAATCTTTAATTGGATATTAGTTTTACTCTTTTATACTATTTTACTCTATTTTCTTTCCTTTGTACATGTTATAATGATTATGTTCTTCCATTCATTACTAAGTCCAAGTAGTAATAATTTTGTGAATTGGTAGTTGAATTTAATCCTTGTGAAAATGATACTTATGCTTTTACTTTATTACTTGACATGGCTCAGAGCACTTGCTGATTTTTCCAATTATCATTGGTCATTTAAAAATCTAGCCATTGGTTGTATTCATCATAGCTTCAAAGATTGTTACAAGGTAATGAATTTTAATTTAGAACCATTGATGATTAAAACATGTCAAATTGACTACCATATTTTGTGTGGAACAACCATTTCACTCAAATATTCATTATTAGTGTATTTACTATGAGCTTCTATGTTATGAATATACCTTTATTGTATCACAAGTTTATTATAATAAATGAGACATTTTAAATTAAAAATTCTTTCTATAAGAACATAATGGTATTCTTAGAGCAGTGAATACATATTATATCAAATAAATGATTTGATTGTGAGACCTTACATAGTACAATTAGTAAAAGATCTCTTATTAAGTATGCATTGAGTCTAGTGTGTGAGTGAACAAATGATCAAGTCTAATGAATCATGGATATGAGACATTAATTCCCTACACAAATACACATTAAGAGTAATGATGTTTTGGACTAACTCATCATTGGAATATTGCATGGATCATTACATAAATGTCATGGATGATTTTCAATGTGATATATAGTATATGTGATTTGTTGACTTGAAGTCACTCTGATTCTTGCATGATAAATTTTATGTTTTAATCTCATAAACATCACCAGTAACATGCAGAGAGACATGAATGATCTAAATGAAAATTTTCCTTTCTATGTAAAAGGAGCAAAATCTATAAGATCTCTTGATAGTATCAAACTACAAAATGCATAGTCATGTTCAATAAAATAAAATGAGATATTTATTTAGAAAAGTATGCTCATATATGATCAAGAAAAATAAAATTAGACTTTACAACATGTTCATTCATTGTGTTTAATTAGATACAATGTAAGAAAATCATTGTTTATCGATCATTTTAGTGATAGAATATTTTCAAAATAGAATATTTTCAATCACCATGGTGACAAATTTAGAGACTAAATATGTTGGGTTTTTTTTTCAAATTCTATTTTGTTTTTTAGCAAC